GTGTTCTTTCTACAAGAACAATAGTCTCTTTGATTTATGCAAAAATTCTTGATTGAAAAGGGACATTTCTTGATTAAAGAGATACTTTTCTTAAAACAATAGCGAATACTATTGACTCAACTAAAATTTATTTTGATCTAAGAGAAGTCTATACATCATATACAGGCATATTACGAAGTATATTATTTTCTGATAAATTTAGGTTTTCCTGGTCTATAGCTTTGTCTGTAGTAAGTAAAGTGATATTATTTTCCTCGACAGTAGTTATTTCCGCTTCTTCACTCCTTGGTATTTTTTGGGGTGGTTCATCACTCTACAAATTACAAAAAAATGTTACATCACGATTAATCAAAGTAAAGCAAATAAATTAAAATTATAAGCTTTGGTCACATTTTGAATTTTTTAATACGACGACTTGAAATTCTAAATTTTTTGTAATTATTTGCATAATAAAATCGATACCTATATTCTTATTCTATCTATAGTCACGCATGCATTATCTAAACAGGTGCATTAGGTAAATGTCTTTTACCTTCAAATATAGCAAATAAATGCTCTAATTTCCATTTTTTCAGAAACTCCTTTAAAGAATCCATATATCCTAAAATTTGTCCATAAAAAATGACAAATGCATGTTAATAACGATCACTAATTTGTTATACGATATGCGTTTAAAAGGCAAATTATGCAAAATTCCAAGTGGAAAATTCCAAGCAACAAAACCCGTACGTACTATGATGTCCGACTTTGGTGTCGTTATTATTTTTGATCAAAAGAGTATTTAGCTGTTGGAAAAATTGCCATGTTTCTTGAATGAAGTACTTCCTGCCTTATTTTTCTTATATCTTTAAACAAAGTAACTTGCACTTGGTTGAATGAAAATAGATTCAAGAGAAATTTTCGAATTTTTCAAGAGAACCAGTTTTCTTGAGTTAAGAGAGTTTTTCTTCAGGCAAAATATTTTCTTTTACGCTAAAATAAATTCTCTGGCCACTAAATTTTTTTTTTCAAGAACGATGACAACTTTAGTTCAAGTCTCTTTTTCTCAGTGCATGATTTTGGATAAACGTTGTGAACTTCACTCACATATCTATTATAAGACTGGCTGACAAAAACCTTTTCACATATAAAGCACATAACTGGCATGTTGGCGAAATTACTGATCGTTTTTAATAGTTTTTATTTTATATTTGTTGCCCCGTAAAATAATTAGTATGGATAATTTATGACTTGCTGCTGCACTAGATCGTTCAAATAATGAGGATGGTGGTTTTATGGAAGCTACTATTTTACATATTCTTTACGATAAAGATACACTGGGAAATAAATCTGTATATGGTCGTTTTGATTTCGAAAAATGTTTATATTTGGAATGTAAACTAATATAATTTAAACAAATAAAACGCTAATTTACAAATAATTTTTTATTACATCAAAAATAAATTATATACAGTAGCGATTTTATTTTATTAGTTTTTTGAAATTCATCGAATTATTTCTTAAATAGATTATTTCCCTCATCGTAAAATCCAATCAGCTAATCTAATTTTTCGAATAAACTTTCTTTAGATAAGTGATTAAATCCCAAGACCAGTTTAACCGCGATTATTTTTCGGCTTCCTTTTGGGTTTTCTTTTTGTCGTTTATCACTAATTCTGGGAGATTTTGGCAACAGTTCATTTAAAAACATTGATTTACAACTCATATGATGACTTAATAGTGATTTTAATCGGTAAAAACCCCTTATTCGATATTACTTTGAACAAATAAGTGGAGAAAAATACGTTAGAATTTGATATGTTGACATGCGAAACGGGGGTGTCATCCCCCAATTTTTTTCAAATGGGAAGGGGGGTCAAGTGGTACCGCAATGAAAAGGGTTTTCTATTCTCTATACTTTCCCGCTTCGTTTTTGAAAATCGGTCGTGTCATTGAGAAAATATGACAGATTGAAATTTGAAACGTTTATTTAAATATTTATCAGAGTAAATGATATGGATAAATTCCTTCGACCAATTTGCTGTTTTTTCTTATTATTTCTAGATGTTTACGCATTTTTTCACTTGCCACAAGATTGAACGATCAGGTGCGGTAGTTGCTAGATAGCTGTTCTGTGACTTATGCGTTAAAGTTCTCAATATCGTTAAACTTTTTAATAATTTTGGTGTACTCACTTGCAGAAAAAGTAGAAATAATCGAACTTTATTTTAAAAATAATGAATGTGGTAATAGGGTTGCGCAGATATTCAATGAACGCCATCCTGACAAACACCTTTATGGCAAAATTGTTCGCGAGTTAGTAGCAAAATTTCGCGAAACTGGTTCCGTTATGAATAAAATGAGGCAGAAGGAAAATCCTGTAGTAAATGAAGCTATGGAGGTATTCGTATTGGGCCTAGTTGCCATAAATAGTACGCTGAGTACAAGAAAATTAGCCAATGAGACCGGCGTGAATCGTACAAGTGTCCAAAGGATATTAAAAAAACACAAGTTACACCCGTACAAAATTCAGTTGGTACAAGAACTCAACGAAGACGATTTTGATCGTCGCTTGCAATTTTGTTAAACTATGAGTGAACGAGTGGCAAATGATAATAATTTTCTATTTAATGTTTGTTTTTCGGATGAGTTTTTCTGAACTCTTTTTGAACGGTGTAGTTAATCGGCACAACTGTCGGTACTGGGCTGAGGACAACCCCAGAGTTTTTCACGAGGTGCACACACAAAACCCCCAGAAATTGAACGTGAGGGCTGGTATTTTTGGAAATTTTATTGTGGGTCAGTTTAACGATATTGAGAAGAACTTCAACGCACAAGACACAGAACAGCTATCTAGCAACTACCGCACCTGATCGTTCAACCTTGTGGCAAGTGAAAAAATGCGCAAAAATCTAGAAATAATAAGAAAAAACCTCAAATTGGTCGAAGGAATTTATCCTTATCATTTACTCTAATAAACTTTTTAAATTTCAAACCTTGTGGCAAGTGAAAAAATGCGTAAACATCTAGAAATAATAAGAAAAAACCTCAAATTGGTCGAAGGAATTTATCCGAGAATTTATCCTTATCATTTACTCTGATAAATGTTTAAATAAACTTTTCAAATTTCAATCCTTCATATTTTCTCAATGACTCGATCGATTTTCAAAAACGAGGCGGGAAAATATAGAGAATAGAAAGCTCTTTTCATTTCGGCGCCACTTGACCCCCCTTCCCATTTGAAAAAAGTTGGGGGATGACACCCCCGCTTAGAGGGTTGAAGATTTTGCAATTATTTTTGGGGCAAAAGTTGTCCCCCTCACAAATAAAATTGACGTGTTTTTGGATTTTTTGGAAAAAAAAATACCCGGGGCAATTTTTGACCATTCGTTTCCTTGCATATTGTTCGCAACTTTTCGATCAACACTAAAATCCAATTTTTAAGTGTTCGCATTTTTGCGTATTAGCAAATTTCCCTGCGTTGTCTTGCGAGCGGATCGACAGCATCGTGTAAGTATATGTTTTTTAAGTGCGCATAGTAGATTTGATAGTTCCAAGTTTGTAGTTGGGTTTAGGTGTAAAAATAATAGTAATGGATGACTTAATGAACGTTTTGGCCATTCGAAACCTAGAAAATGCAGAATTGCAATACCGCCGTAATGTTTTGCGCAATCCGGGGAATGCGTTCATAGAACTGAGTGAAAGGCAATTTATTAAAATATTTCGGTTATCTAAAGATTTGTGCCGTTTTTTAATTCAGTTACTTGAGCCGTACATGCGACCACAAAGAAGAGAGACTGATTTGGATGTGCAAAGCCGGGTAACATTTTTCTCTCTTATTGTATATCTATTAAGTAACATTAAATTTCAGATTTTAGCTGCTTTGAAATTTTACGGAAGTGGTTGTTATCAGCCGGATGTTGCTTTAAATAAATACATCGATATGTGCCAAGCCTCGGTTTCTCATTCAATTGATGAAGTTACCAACGCTCTAAACCATCCAGAGATATTCGATCAATGGGTTGAATTTCCAAATAATTTTGAAAAACTCAACAGAATTAGAGAACAGTATGGTTTTGCAATACGGGTATTTATTGCATAATTACGTATTATCATTGTAGATTTTTTCGAATACATAGGTTCCCGGGAGTGATAGGATGTGTAGATTGTACACATGTTGCCATTGTACCACCAAACATCGAGGATCCCGAGTATCCAGAACATATTTACGTTAACCGAAAGCATTATCATTCGATAAATGTCCAATTGGTAATGTTTATGTGTCATTGGTTTACTAACAAGTAACAAATTTGTTTTAGATATGTGACGCAAATCTCAAGATTTTACATGTGAATGCAAAGTACCCAGGAAGCACGAACGATGCTTACATATGGAGTAGATCAAATGTACTACCATTTTTGAGAGACTTACATGCAGCAGGTCACACTGACTACTTCCTTTTGGGTAAGTATTTGTTCATAATAATTTTGTAAATTATTTTTAATAAAAATGTTTTTTTAGGAGATTCTGGATACCCGCTTCGTACATGGTTACTAATCCCCTTTCAAAATGTGGAACCCAATACCATTGAAAGCTCTTATAACGAGAGACATAAACACACACGTGTCAAAATAGAATGTTGTAATGGAGTTTTAAAAGCCAGATTCCGTTGTTTATTAAAGCACAGAGTGCTTCATTATAAACCAAGGAAGGCCTGCGAAATTATTAATGCATGTGTTGTTCTGCACAATATATGCATCGAGTATAATGTACCCTTGCCGCCTGAGGATCCTGATGAAGGCAAGGGCATAGAAGTCGATTTTGGAATCATAAATGATATAATAGAAGACCAAGACCTGCATGTAGCGAGATCAATTAATCCTGAACTAGCTGATGGGCAAAGAGCTAGAATCACAGTTGCAAGAAGTTTTCAAAGACCAAATCAATTATAATTTATTTTTATGTTTCCTATTTTTTAAGTAATGCATTAACAATTTATACAAATAAAGATACTGAAACAAAACTAAATGAAAATTTACTAAATTAATCTAAATTAAGATATCTGGGTAGGTCTGCAAGCATTCCTTGCTTTCCTTCAATAGCTGTAGCGATCCTTTGCAATGAATCTGCTTTCCTTTCTTCAGCCTCGGCCATTCTTCTCAGTATTGCCAGTTTTTCAGCATAATACTCTTGCTTTAAAGTGATCTTCTGTTTTAAATTTGATTCAAAAGTGGTGGCCGCCACTGCTGAGTTTATGAGGTTATCAAGTTTTTTTGGTAATTTGCCTTTTTCATTTTCTTTCTTCTCCGGAAGTTGTTTTTGTGGTTGTAATTCAGATATATTTGCTAAGGGCGACAACAGTTCCCTATCTGTTTCACTCTCTATATCTGTAGATGTTGTATAAGCATTTGTAGTATGGGTCTTCATTTCTTCAAATACATGGTTTTGTGCTTGCTCATTACTGGTGACATTTTTTATACGTTCTTGTTCGTTAACGATAAAATTTGTAACTGTTGACTCTGCGACATCATGCCCCTCGACTGAAACCTTCTTTATTATAGCGAGAACTTCCTCCTCTACACTGGTTAAGGAATCGTCAATTTTCTTGCCACCCCCTGTTCCATTTGCATACATTTGGTTCTTGGCTTGCTTACTTTTCGTGCGACTTCGGAGGTCTTGCCAAGCCTAAAAATATGAATGAATATGTATTACTCTAGAAAAAAAAGAAGAATCGATGAGGAGGGGCATTTATCTTATTAGATTTCAGACTTTAGACTATATTTCGTTTATTTGAATTTCCCGTAGAACACAACTTTTTCCTTCCTTCTATGCCCACCGCTACTAAATTGCACTAAATTGCTTATCGTTTTCAAGATAAAAAAAAAACTTTCAAAATACCCCTCATATTTCTCCAATTTTCATGTTTCAAGTCAACTCTGGTATAAGCTGTATCAATAACCGAGAAATTATTTAAAACAGGCAGTAGGTACTTACTTTTCGCCAACTTTTCCAATCTTTCTCGGCTCCCGGCATACTATTTAAAATAGCTGAAATATCCTGCCAGTCCTTTGCTGCATCTTTTGCAGTGTAATGGCTAGTTTGCTTTCCACTAATTAAAAGCGGCCTCTTCTTTACAAATTCTATTAATGTTGCTTTTTGCTTTTCTGTAATATTAGTTCCACGTTTTTTTTCCATATTAACCCACTTGACCAACAAACCTCGAGTATCGACAACAAGTAATGAAAAGTAAATAAACAGTAAAAAATACGGTTAAACTGGAAAGAATTTAGTTTTTTCACTGTGGTTTGTCGACGTTGCCACAACTCCGGCTCGTAATTTTGCGTACGCTCACGACTATCGCAAATTAAGATGCGAAGATGGCTGAAAAATTGAATTTTTAAAACGCATTCGTTTTCTAACACTCGCAAAGTTGCGCGTTCGCATGCAAACGATCAATTCCAAAAATTGACCCCCTGGCCGTTATGCCTTGCGAAACGTTTTCGATGGGCCACCCTGTATAAGATTGTTGGCTTTTTAAGATGCCCATCTCAATATTTAATTTTTTTGTCTGTAATTCTATATTTTGTTTTCTGTCCAACTTTTCCATTTCAAACGGTTTTTCTTTTAATATCTGTTCTCTTCGTGCAGTTTAATTTCACGACTTCCTGTCTCGTGATTATTTTTTCATTTAAACGGTAAATAATTTATTGCTGTCTCCTTTATTGTACCAGAATTTAATATTTTTCCCTTGAAGGATCTATAAATAGAACAATTAATAAACCTTTGTATAATGAGACTGAGTGCTGCATTCCTGCATAATTATGTGCAATAACAATCGAAACAATAAATTATTAATTAAAATAATTTAATATTCTTCTTTATAATTCTAAGCAATCATCGAGATATACTCAATGTACCTCAAACCAACCGTCTCCGAGTTATTGACTTTTGAAAATATCACTTAAACAATTCAATTTAATTAATTTCGATGTGTTTGTTTTCATTTAACGATGCCATTCTGCGGAAATTGTGATACTTAATATTTGACATTAGTTTTCAAGTTAGCATTTATAGTTGTATAAAATGAGATTATATCAAGTCTGGAAATTACAAAAATTTTCGTTTAACATTTCAAAATCAAAACTTCATAATGCGCAAATTGTTGACTTTAGAAACATAATCGTAATGCACATAATGTACCTAAATTCCACAATTTCCAAATTATGAAGCTATGAATAGATATTTAAAAACCTTATAATTTTTATATTTAACATTTTGCGGTTCCTCTTATATTTAACCTAATAATCGACCGTTCCCATACATATCAGGTAACCTGTATATATTTAATAATCAAGGTTATCCACGACTCGCCTATAATTTTATTATTATACATGAGTTTATGAAATAATAATAATATTCATTATTCACTAGTGAATAATGGCTTCTTTATTCACCGCTTCCACTGATATCTCGATCCAAACTCCAAACAAGAGCTATTTGATGTTTTCAATGTCACTTTTTGCATTTATTTATGGGGTGTTTCAAAAGTTTTTTTTCTTGTCATAAGATTTTTAAAATATTTTTTCCTTTTTAGTAAGTCTCTCATGTTATATCTCGACGTGTAAACAAATTATTAAACACCATTACGGAGAAACAATGTTAAAATTCCCTCATTTTCTACTCTAAAATTCGAATTAATAATTTGAAGTTTTAAATGTAACTTTTTGCATTCATCTATGGGGGGTTTCAAAAGTTGTTTTTTAAAAATAAAAACTCATATTAATATTATCTAATTTTTTTTTGATAGTCCTGGATAAACTATAGTATTCTACTCGCATATAATGGCCATTATATGCTCGTTGAATAATATACTAATTTTATGGTAGAAATGTATTCATTTTTTTTTGTAGAAATGTATTCATTCAACAGTATTTCACGACAAATAAATAAAAAGGGTCCTACACGCAACGATACCTCAGAGATTTGAACTGTACAGTCCTTCGGTTCAGTCGAAATCTCAACGTGTAGTTGCGGTTTCGATAAGGATCTCATTGAAGAGACTAGATCTGCGATCTTTCAACATGCTGAATATTTTTAACTGCACAGACCACAGATTTATATAACTATAGACTGACGAAATTAACTTTTACAAAACCTGAACGTGTATGAAAGGATTGCTATCGATTTGTTAAGATCTGAACTGTGTAATTTGGTATGCAGATCAAATCGTTGCGTGTAGGGTTCCTTTAAGAAAAAAACAACACATTATGATTATATTATATAAAAATATTCATAATATGTAGTTTTTATGACTTAGGCTACTATTACGCTATCTAATTTCTATGCCAAAGATTTTATTTAATATAAAATAATTTGAGAGTGTAATATTGGTGATTTTATAAAAGATTGTCTATTAACACTGTCAAATTTTTCATCAAAAGATCTTTGACAAAGAAATTTGATAGTGGAATAGCGGCCTTACTCAAAACACTTCTTTGTGCTGTTCCTTTATTCTGAGTTTCTTTATTAATAGTATCATCTTTTTCACTACCTACCCAGTTTACTGGGATTTAGTTGTACGAAAGTTGTACCGTATCTTCTAGTTTCAGAATTTGGACCATGCGCTAGAAATAATAGTAAAAATACTACTTGACAATCATTTTTAAACTAAAACTATATTTTATACCTTCTCGACTAAATTTCAAAGTTGCTTGCTGCTTCTATTCGATTCCCTGCTGGTATGATATTGTATCAGCAATTTTATTATTACCTACTGAATATTGTTCTCTCACTAATATGGAAATTTGTAGAAGCCAATCATCTAATTCATATGTTTCTTCTTCAATTCCAGATCTTATTAAAAGTAAATTAATTACTCGGTATAATTTTTTTTGTTTGAAACTTACCTGTATTGTTGTTTTTTTTTCTTTGTTAAGACATTTATTGACCAAATTTCTGATTCTATCTTTCAACGTTCTAACAACTATATTTTCCCTGTTATTTGTAGAATATTAAATTGAGTTAAAGTCCACCTTGAATCATCATAATAATTTTGACGCAGTATTTTCTCTTGCTAGTGTTAGCGTTTTATCACCATCAGTTGACAAATGGATCCTTTTGTTGGATTTTTCTATTTTGAAAATTTTTAATTTATGAAGTATTTTGTCGCAAGTGATGAATAGCAGCACTGAAACTAATAGGAGTATAGACATTGTAACTGTTGGCAAATGCCTAAAATGAGCAGGAAAAACACCATTAAAGTCGAATTTTATTTAGCCTGTATATTTTAACCTTTATTTTTTTCTGTCACTTTGATACTTGGTTGTATCAAAACGGTGTACTCTATCCCCTTCAATTACGATGTCCACTTCGGTTTTAAAATTTGAACCATCTAGCTAGAAATAACAATAATACATTACACAATCGTCTTTAACTTAAAACTATATTTTATACGTTTTCCACTAAATTTCAGAGATGCTTGCTCCCTCAGTTCGATTCATTGCTGTTATAATGTTGTATCGGCAATTTTACTTTACCCTACTAAAAATTGATCTCTCAGCAACAGGGAAATTTGGAGAAGCAAATCATCTAATTCATATGTTCCGTATTCAGTTCCAAACCTATTAATTTATTTAATTTTATTTTTTTTCTTTTGGATGGGATTCTTCCATTTTGAAAATTTGTGATTTACAAATTATTTTGTGAAAAGTGATAAACCGCAGCACTCTAATAATAAACTAATAAGAGGATACACATTGTAAATATGGGCAAATGCTTAAAATGAGCAGATAAAACACCTGGCTAGATAGGGAGCAATGGCGACTGGGGCATCGGAAGACATCGAAAAACCGATTGGTAAAGCTGATATCTATATATGATTGACAAGGCTATATATATATATAGCAGTTATATATGCTGTAATGGCTATATATTATATCCTATTTTGTTTTTACAGGATTTATATATCGCTGATACGAAGGACAGTTGATATCAAAAACGTGATGATTAGAGGTAATGTTCGGATTATTTTTTTCTAAAAGTAAGAAGTCTGATTTTGGTTTTCTTGTACGCTATGTTCCCTACACTACTCTTGCATTACCTCTAGTGCACGCGAACAAGCTCTATAGAGCTCCCGCAAAAATGGGACATGAAACCCTGGGAAACTCCCTGGCTCACAGTAACCAAAGATGTATTTTAAATTATCATGAGTAATACATAATTGTTGTTGACGACCAGGGGGATACCTTTCAAGCAACCGCGCGTATACCCCCTTGCTCTATAATTCTTCGTTGCTTTTTACCGCAGCAGATTTCAACTCAGAGACAGTTTTGGGTGATACTATATTTCAAACTCCCTAGTTCTTTATCATTTTCTTCTCTTCAGTTGTACCAGTATTAAAAGAACTAACCTCGAAAGTTAAAAATGTCATTCCAAAACAAGTGTAAAATTTCACAATCGGACTAAGAATGAAAAACTCGAATAATACATACTCAGGTAACACATAAACCTTAACTGGAGCAAATTTAGAAGTAGTAATGTTTAAATTATACAAAAATGTATCTGTAAACCTCCATAATAGGAAGGCAGAAAGTAAATATAAAGTTTCATTTAAAAACCGAAAATTGCCAATGGAAATGAAACACCGCAACGGCAACGCCGATTTATAAATTGACTTTAATAATATCTGCGTACATTTGCCCTTTCATGGTAGAACCTTTTATTCTAACAGATTTGAGATACTACTTGTCCTATGTTCTAAAGCAGCACATGAATTGAATCTTTCTTTTTCATTGTTTTTTTTGCACCGTTAAATATATTTCTCTGTATATTCTCAGAGGTCTTTAAGATAGTGACTCGGATAGTGAGAATTTCCGTTTCTACTATGCTTCGTATATCTTCTCATAACTTTGACAACTTCACTACATTATTTAAATATTTCTCGATTGTTAATAGTTACAATTTGTACGAATCCTTTCCGATTTGAATAAGGTCGTTTTTCTTCTGATAGAGCAATAATGTTCACCTGATTACAATCAATAGCCCCAATTACACCTGAAATTTTTTTCATAAATCTAGTTGTTACTTAATTCATATGGAACGTATCTCTTGGAAAAATAATCCATTCCTGAGCTCACTCATTAATAACCAGAGTTTTATTATCTTGCATTAAATGGCTTACACAATTTTTTTTGCTGGCATGTTGG